ATTTTTGTTCATCTAAGATTTTGGATATTGATATTTTTTTGTTATTTGATATTGCCTTTAAATTGTCTATTATTTCGCATGAATTTATGTGATATGTGTTTTGTTGATGGGAATTAAATTTTTCTATGGCATCTTTCCACCTAGTATACCCGGTACTTACCAATGTCTTAAGTTTTTGTAACCCTTTACCAGCATATTTTGGCGAGAAAATAACGCACACCTTACAAAAAGCCCCTTGCTTTATGGCTGAGTAGGCAAGCCACCTATATTTTTTTAGCCATGAAAATTGGAATGTTAAATTTCTCATATTTAATGATACTTATAACCATTCCCTGGCTCCCAAATATTATCAATGGACCTTAATTTTTCATTATCATTATGAAAATTGTGGTGTACATAGGTTGCAATATCTTTTTGACAAAGGATGTCTATATTTTTTTAAAATTAAAATTTCAATATGAACTGTTTTAAATATAATAAACCCAATGATCTTATTTCTTATAGCACTAATCAAAAACACCCCAAAAACCTTATCTGAGTTTGTTTAAAAAATTAGATAACAAATATAAAATATATCTTGAATAAGTATAAGTGACAAAATAAAAATGAACTATATAATATAAAAATATTAAACAAAATATTATACCTTGATCAAGAAGTAGAATAGTCTGATCTTTCAAATTTGAGATGCCAAGATATGTTGGCGATTTAACTATTAAAATATAATAAATATTAAAAAAAAAATATTAACAAAATATTAAACCTTGATCAAGAAGATGCTGATCTTGAAAATTTGAGATGGGAAGATATGTTGGTGATTGAACTATTACAAAATAATATAAAAAAAATATTAAACAAAATATTATAGTTATACCTTAATCAAGAAGTTGAATAGTCTGATCTTGAAAATTTGAGATGGGAAGATATGTTAGTGATTGAACTATTACAATATAATGTAAAATAAAAATATTAAACAAAATATTATACCTTGATCAAGAAGTGGAATAGTCTTCTTTAAAATTTGAGATGGGAAGATATGTTGGTGATTTAACTATTAAAATATAATAACTATTAAAAAAAAATATTAACAAAATATTAAACCTTGATCAAGAAGATGCTGATCTTGAAAATTTGAGATGGGAAGATATGTTGGTGATTGAACTATTACAAAATAATATAAAAAAAATATTAAACAAAATATTATAGTTTTACCTTAATCAAGAAGTTGAATAGTCTGATCTTGAAAATTTGAGATGGGAAGATATGTTAGTGATTGAACTATTACAATATAATGTAAAATAAAAATATTAAACAAATTATTATACCTTGATCAAGAAGTGGAATAGTCTGATCTTTCAAATTTGAGATGGGAAGATATGGTGGTGATGATTGAACTCTTACTATATGATATAAAATAAAGTAAAAATATTAAAGAAAATATTATACCGTTATTATCACCATCAGGAAGATTTTGCAATGTAGTAATAGGTGTAGGATGTGATTTGTTGAAATATGAATAAATTAATGATTGTTTTTTCATATTGAAAATGAGAAATATATATTTTTATAAAATGTAATATGACAAACTAGACAACTTTTATGAAATGCAAAATAATATAAAATTTATTTAATAAATAAAAAAATAATCAAATGTTTTGTGTATATCTATTATTATTTATAATAAATTTAAAACACAAAAATCAAGCGTTTATTAAAAATTTATTAAATTAAAATTAAAAAATTTTAAAAAAAAAATTTAAAAAAAAAATTAAAAAAAAAATTAAAAAAAAAATATTAAAAAAAATTATATTTTCATTTTTCATAAGAGGGGGGGATTGCAACCCCCAAACCCCCCCCCCCCCATGCCTACGCCACTGCACAAAAGTGGGAGGCTACAATATCATTGTCCTGACAGCTTAACCTAACCTAATCTGAATTAGCTAATGCGATCAAGTAGGAAGATTTACTCTACAAGATTTTTAAAAGCTTCTACAGTATGGAGCACATTATAAGTCTCTTACCACATCAATCTTTATTTTTAATTCGCAAATGCCTGTACATACCTAAATTTATGCACATTTTCCGATCATCATTATCTAAAATTCAGGATAAATTTAAAATATTTCTGGAAAAATTTTTAAACATAAATTTAAACTCATTCAATTGGTCACTTGCTCACAGTGGCGTAGCTACGGGGGTGGTTTTCGGGTTTGGACCCCACCCAGAGCAAATTTTTTTTTAGATTATACGTTCAAAAGACTTAAAAGTGACTTTATATCAAATAAATACCATTTGGTTTTGATGTTTGTGGAAGGATATTATATTACTATTGAAATTATTCTGGGTAGTATTATTAAAGTCATTGAGAATAATCTACTAAATTATAATAACATATTATTCATGCGATTTTATATGTATGGACCCCCTCTAAGAAAAATTCCTAGCTACGCCACTGCTTGCTCAGTTACCTTTTAAACTAGGCGGTTTAGATTTTTTTTCCGCTCATTTATCCTTATCATCATTCGTATCATCTAGATTATCTAACAATTCTATGATTTCTGACTAATCATTGGTTTACGTCTAGGTTGCCATATAGTACAGCCTCATGCCTGCATCAAATGCAAATCACCCGTTTATTCAAAGGGTTGACATGGCTTAAATAGTATTTTTAGTCAAGGGCGACATCAACGCCACTCAGCTGTAAACCATATAATAAATAGAAGCATAACAGCTGCACACATTCCAAACAATCTTGAACCATCTAATTTATCTCAAGTAGATGGTTTAAGACCTGATGGTATGACAACTATACCTTGGGCCCTCGGCAAATCACTCATATGGGACTACACGTGTGTCTCATCATTCCCTTCAAACATAAATTTCAATTTAATAACACAAGCAGAAATTAAAAAGACAAACAAATACAAAAATTTTTAAAACTTCATATTCACTCCAGTAGTGACTTCTACTAACGGGCATTTTTCGCCTTCAACATTTATGTTTTTAAAACATCTGGGTAATAAAATACGACTTTTCACAAATGAACCCAGAGAATTACTTTTTATTCGACAAAAAATAATTTTTAGACACAATTATGGTTCCTTTTTGGGGACTCAATTATAAAATTTTATTTTTAATTATATAATTATAAATTTATAAATTATAATTTTTTTAATTATTATAAATTTATAATAATTTTTTTAATTAGGTTTTATGTAAATTTATGAATTTAAAAAAATTGAATTCTTAAAAAAAAAATTAAAAAAAAAAATTTATAACTCAAATATTTTTTAAGAACTTTAAAGTTCCGCTTGGCATATGTCCAAGGGAAGAAATAACGATCGGTAAAAAAATATAATTTGTGAATTTGGAATATTTTATTGTTTTTTTTCTCGGCTATATCAACTGGATTAGAATTTAAATTTTTTAGAAAAGAAAATACGCATGTAAAGTCCCAAATTAAGGATTTCCCTAAAGACCAAGGCACGGAAGTTAAGCCATCTAGTCTTAAGCCATCATGTATTGATAAATTTGTAGGCTCCAATATGTTTGGTAATTAAATAATCTCTATATATTTGGCCTGTAAAAAAATTTATAAATTATGAAATGTATATGACCGGAATGTAAATTTATCCCCGAGACTGAAGATATTTTTTTACTTTTGGATCTTTTGATTGAGTTAATTTTTTTAATGATATTTTCAATATTTGGCCACTGTTATTCAAAACGTCGATTACGTAATTTTTTTAAAAATCAGTTAAATGAGGATTATAATTTAGGCTTCAATAAATATTTGAGTCGTAAAATAGTTATGAAATTAACATTTAAATCTAGATATTGTAAAAAAATTGGGGTAAAAACTAAGAAATTTACCCATTTTTAGGTTCAAAATCATATGAAAGAGGGAAAAAATTTAAAAAGAATAATAATTCATTCAACAATTACAAATGATACAAGTCCCTAATAAGAATTAGTGCATATGGTTTAATTTTTGAAACCCTGCCCGGGTCAAATTTGTTTCTTTATTTGTCTCGTATTATTTAAATGTAAAAAAAATATTTTACCAATCTAGAAAATGCCTTTATAGAGTAAATCCAAAATATATAGCCCAAAATGAAGGAAATTGTGCACACCAATCCAAAACACTAGAAAATATCGAAATAGACTAAAGCTAGATTTATATATATGTCCCTCAACTATGATACGCTAAATACAATTCCGTCGAGTTAAAGAGTGCTTTCTCCTCATCAAGATTTTATTCTTATCATCAAAAATGGAACAAAATTGAGTCCTTTAAGATAATGATTGTTGCTAAATATTTACGACTCTAGCAAATTACTATATCTACATAAATTCAATAAAAATAATTCATATTAATTTTATTTTATTTTTCACTATTAAAAAATGAAATAATAGAAAAATAATATGTTACTTGATAAACATAGATCTTTTTCACAAACATACGCTATTACGTCATATAAATTTAATTTACATTAGATACCAATGATTACAAGATTTTAATCCACCTTTTTCTTATGTAAAATATTTTATCTTATAATCATGATACGAATTTTAATAAGCAGGAAAATAACATATAATATATAGAGGAGACCAAGGTAAAACGATACATTTAAGAGTTTACAATGTCATAGCTAAAAAAATTAAAATTTTTCAGACTAACCTGTCCAGGACATAATAAATTAATATATTTCGACCCAAGACTTAACTGGTATTTACCTTAATTTTAAAAAGCATGGGAACGAATTTAAAACAAAATATTTATTTATCTATTGTATTTTATGTAAAAAATTTATTTATTAATGATTTAGATAAATTAATTATATTTATACATATTTTATTCTCTTTATTACAAAATAATTTCAAAAATTATCATAAAATATTTATCACATCTAATTTAATAATGTATCCAATAAAAGAAAGTAAGAAAATAAAACATTAATATATTTTCAACATTTTTTTTATTTATAAATATATTAAAAAGGCGCGACAAAATTTTATCAGAAGCATGGCCGGTTATAGTGTCATACTATTTTTGTTGCAAATCAAAGACAGACACAATGGGAACATAATGATTGACATCGGTGGCCATATCATTCACATAGGTTTAAAATAAACAAACAAAAATCATATAAAGTTAGTTAAAAAAACATTTTATATTCATTCTCCTATTGTCTTTCTATTTCTATTGGTTCTCTTAATCTCCCCTATGGCCTACTAGGATTAGCAATATATTGTGTATTAAATTTTTTACAACAGTTGAAGTTCAATTACAAAAGTCAACAGACTTTATTAACAAATCTCTCACACATTCCACCATAAATATATTTTAAATGAATCGTAACGATAGAATAAGTTAGAGGCTAGGCAATCTCAAATGTATGGTAGACATAAAAAAAATAAAGGCTATAAATTTATAACTTACGAATCACGGTAGCTTAAAAAATATATATATGTTAGCCGCAATGTGTTATTTTTTCAACTTTTTGAGCACGTATATATAAAAAAAATTTAAAAATCTGATTTTACCTCAAATATATTTCAACATATTTATAATATCTATCTCTCATGAATTTTAGACAATGTCATTTATAATTTAATATAGTAAATATATGGAAAAACCAATACAAATAATATTAAGTCAAAAGGTTAATCGCAAAATTGTCTGGAATTCATAGGATAGGTATCCTAAACATGCTGAAATTCATTTCCGGTAAAATGAATGATTTAAAGCCGAAATAATCACACATTCATTACTAACTACTTTAATATTAGAGGCAGACAGACGATAAAATTTTCTTAGTTATAAATTATACAAGTAGTTTATTTACTTTAAAATATGAGAATTAATACGATTACTAAGCAGACGATAAAAAAATTTCATTATATTATATATATATATATAAACATTTATTTACTTTAAAATATGAGAATAAATACAATTACTAAGCAGACGATAAAAAATTTTCTTAGTTATAAATTATACAAGTAGTTTATTTACTTTAAAATATGAGAATTAATACGATTACTAAGCAGACGATAAAAAATTTTCATTATTTTATATATATATATATATAAACATTTATTTACTTTAAAATATGAGAATAAATACTATTACTAAGCAGACGATAAAAAATTTTCTTAGTTATAAATTATACAAGATAGTTTTAAATATATTATATAATGCATTTATTTACTTTAAAATATGAGATAAATACAATTACTAAACAGACGATAAAAAATTTTCTTAGTTATAAATTATACAAGGTAGTTTTAAATATATTATACATTTATTTACTTTAAAATATGAGAATTAATACAATTACTAAGCAGACGATAATTTTTTTAATGTCAAACACTTCAAAATATCCAAATTCAAATTATTTTTGCAATATCTAACACATCAAAATATCCAAAATTTTCAAATTATTTTTGCATTGCTTAATTTTTGACTCGTTATCTTTTAACCTTATCTAGAACACTCTGGTATGGTTTTAGCTAAAGAATTAATTATTATTATTATTTAGTGAATTATGTTTGAAATAGTGTTAATGAAGATGTTAAATAACAAAAAAATATATTAGTTTTATTTACGTGATTTTTTTTTGGAAGGATTTAGTTTTTAGGGTTCCAAACTCTGTTTTAAACAATAGGACAGAGTCTTAATGAATGTCATACATTTCTCCAATTGAAAGAAAGAAATGTTCTTCAATGGCGTCTACTACATCCAATTACTTGAATCAAATGATGAATTCAATTAGGAATCATTATCCAATTCGATCAATATTTAATTTAAGAAACCTACTGCTAAATATTACCCTTTATAATAATGTCATTTTTATTTGGATCCTTTTCTTCAAAATTAGATTTTAAAATTACCGAACTGATTTTTGAATCGCGGATGTCATATTTAATTGTCAATCATATTTTCCCATGTTTTAAGAGTCCCGAATACATTGCAAATCTATTTTTATCATTTTTTTTGTTGATTAATAATTAAGATTTTGGGTTTTTGTTCGAGAGTTCCCCTGGTGGCAACTTGGGGTTCGAACCTGACATCAAATTGACGGATGAGATGGTCATGATAATGGGGGGAAAGATGGAGGCCGGCGGCTTTCAATGGTTCACGGAACTTTGCGTCAAAGGATTCCTCGCTTTCAGGTAAATATGTCCTTCAATTTTTACCAAATCATAAGGAATAAACCTGGAAATTGAGTTTAAGCATTTATCTAAAAATCTATTCTAGTTCATTATTTACTGCAATATGTTTACCTACGTATTTATCACACTATCACTATTAGGGTCTAAAAAAATGTATATTTAACATATATTATCTCACTTCCCCCTACATATTTTGAAAACGTGTGTAGACCTTACGAAGAAGCCGTAGTCACCTTGGTCTCTCTAATGTTGGACACACGGTTTTCTTGCTTCAGAGGGCAAACTATCAAATTAATCAGGTCGCGATTCACGTCCAACCTTTCGGAAAAGGAGGCCGCTCAATTTATGATAGGGGTCATTCACAGGTCCTACCTCAATTATCGTATCAGGGCTTACGATCTGTTGCAATATTACCAGAATCAAATTCCTTATTAAAATCGTGCTTTCATTATATTAAGTTTGTATTCGTTATCGTTGTTAGGTGTTTTATATAACATCAGTGGGCATATTGTTTTTGATTTAGATCTTTTGACTTTAGTCTTAAAAACCTCTAAATTTAATATTTTTTTTAAAATTAATCATCAAACAACCATCAATATTTTGTAAACTTGTATTTATTTATTTGTATACTTTTTTCTATTGGTTGATAATATTTTTTTCTAGTAAATGACAAAAATATTAACATAAATAACATATGATTAGTGTTTGCAACGGTCCGGTCTTTTTTTCTAAAATGGGACCGGACCGATGGACCGTTAAGTCAAATGAGACCGGACCGTGCGACCGTCGGTCCTGTCCAGGCGGTCCGGTCCCACCTAAAAAAATTTTTTTTATAAAGCTACAATAGTTTTATTCTGCATTTAAATTTATTAAAAATGAATAGTTAAACTACCCTATTAATATTTCAATTATATCATCAATTCATTTTTATTATATTATACACAAATGCCTAATCAAAGAAGAATATAAAAAGTAAACTATGAATATTGAATTTAATGAAACGGAAGAATATAAAAAGTAACGATGAATTAGATATTATAAAGTGTTAGGCATTAAATAATCATATTTTATATGTTCATGTACATACACATTAACTATAAAGCAATTTATAGTAAACTTTTATATTCTTTAATCAGTCTTCGGTCGGACCGGACCGTGTTGTTGGACGGGACCGTCCCATAGGACCGAAAAGTCTAATAAGACCGACTGGACCGTCGGTCCGACCGGACCGTTGCAAACAATACAAATGATGTTAATAGAAGTTTCGTAATATATTTATATTTATATCAAAAATAGTACATTTTTTATAGAAAATATATATAAAAATTATATAACGTACAAAAAATATTTATTAAAATGTTTAAAAAATAAAATTAGATTTGATCCAAAATAGAACCGCATAATTTTTAAAACATTAATATATTTTGTCACCTTTTAATGTTTTAAAACAGAGACGCCGGATTAAAAAACCGAATTTTATCATTTTTTCGGTCCGGCCTGTAATTTAATTAATTTTGAATAGTTTTTAGCGGCTCTATTTTATAAATTGCTCTGAAGGAAAATTGAAAATATGAGGAGTAAATAAATATTTTAAAATCGACCCGGCATAAATATTATTTATAAAAAATTTTTTTTAGGTCCACACTTATTATTTTTAAAAGGTTCTGCCCGATTACAAATCCCATGAAACTTTCAGAAGATAACAATCAGCTGTTACATTTTTTTGTTAGCACATTTAGAGATGTGTCAATCTTAAATAAAAGGATGTTATCTATCTATGCATAGCATATTCTACTATAATATTTAAACAATTGTCGGAAATTAAGAGGTGGAAATATATGTATATTTTGAAAACATGACAATATTTAATGGAAAGATGTAGCAAAGCAAACATCATAAATTCAGGTGATATAGAAGTTAAAGTTCTGCAAAGCACATCCCCCTTTAGCCTGATAAGAATTTTTGCACAAGTTGCCCCAGACCGGTCAGTAAAAATATTACGAAAAGTTAGGTCAGCTTTTTTAAGTTTTACAAAAAGTCCGCCTAAACCATTAAATTTTGTTTTAGACTAATTATCCGGCCATCGCAATATTTTAATATCTATAATTATTTGGCTATCTATTTCTACAACAACCGTTTTATAAATTAACTACGTAACTATGTTTGTTATCCGTATTGTGCATTTGTAATTGGATCATATCATAAACGAATTGTTTAATTTTTTGTGATTTTACTATATTCTTTATAAATTTGGTATTTTAGTCAGACGTCTATACAAAGAAATGAGAATATTGTAAATTATTTAAAAAATATACATATCGAGATTTTAATCCCCAGTTCCCTTTTGAAATTTTACGAAAAAGAAATTTATGGGGATCTTTCCGTGATATTTTCATATAGTAATTGTCCCGCCCAAAATAATTTTTGCCTTTAAAATTTTTTATTCGGACCGTTATTTTTTTAATAAATTTCCCGAGCTTAGCTTGAAAGATCTTCTAATAGAGGTTATAATCGAATTGCCACTTAGAATGAGGTAAAATTTGTTGATGAATAGTTTAAACTACTAATTAAACCATCTTTAAAGTACTTTTTAAACAATCGTACTACACTTTAAATAGTCCAAAATTATCGAACTTCAATAGCATCTACACTCAAAAATAAATATTTTTTTAAAAAAAGTTTTTTTTTATGTTATAGTACAATCTTCGAGCTATAAGAATCATGCGAAATTTTTTTAATTTAAAAAATTTATATGTGAAAATTTAATAAAATGTAGATATGGTACTTTGGCCATTAAGGTTAAGTATTATTGTATAAACAGATATTTAGGATTTCTATTATTCCTTATTTTAATAATTGTATCTATTCAAACAACTAGTTCGTCTAAAAAGAAATAAATTTTTTAACGCTATTTGGCAAAATTTATACCGAAAATAATATTTTTCTTTCCTTATTTATTTTTTTTAACTAAAAATAATAAATAAATTTACCCTATTCTTGGAAGCTACTTCGTTTAAATTGATTATGTTTTCCTGTGGATCTTAAATTGCTCTCCTGATGTATAAATTATACGCAATTTTATGATAAAATATGATTTTTATTAAAATACAAATTTATATTGAGAAAGGGCAACAAATTATTATATATATTTATTTAGTATTATAATTATATCATAACACAATAAATGGAATATTATCTCAACATATATAAATTATAAATTTATTAAAATTAAATCGGTATAATAATTGCGACTCATACAAAAGGTAATCTAAAATTGTTGTCTGGGGGATCGGCTTGGGAATTGGCTTAAATTGTTTTAGATCCTTTTTCGAAGAATTATTTTCCAACGATCAATACGAAGTAATTCGGAATTCATTTATTCACACGCTTCGATGCGTCAGTTGGAAGGACATTAGTTATCTTTCACATTATAATTCTTTCGCTGCCTCTTATTTCTAATTGAATAGATATTATAAATTTTAAAATAATGTCCAACTATAGATATGTTTTTGTATAAAACCTAGGCTACTGTATAAGAGTATCGCCTGATTATCAATTATATCTTTTAAAATTTTAATATAATTATTATTGTTAACAGATTTGTAAAGATATTTATTTTAAAATTTATATTACTTTATTTTGTTAAATAAAAATAGTTTATGTTATAAAATATATAATTCTCATCTAACTATTAAAAATAGAAAGGAGGGAGGGGTATAGTAGTATTTATATTTGTTTATTTTGTCTTAAAAGATTTGTGATGGCATTATATGGATCAAAGTTTTTAGAAATAGAAAGTATAAGAGACAAAATGCTCGCTGATAGGTTGGTAGAAACAGCATTGAAGGAAATATAAAGTTATTCAGTGTTTTGAATATTTATATATCCTTTTTTGTTTAGGCTTGAATAAGGACGTTACTATTGCTATTTGTGGAAAAAGTATATTAGTTAGGGAAAATAATCGATTTAGTTAGGGAAAATAATCGATTTAAATATTAAATTACATTTATATTTAAAGAATCTATTTATTTTAATGATGTTGTAAATTTTTTTCTCATATATTATTTATTTTCATAATAAATTTCCATAAATTTAGCTTAGTATTTGGCATAGCCTGATATGCGTAATCTGGTAAATATCAATTTAAACTTAGAGGCTGCTTCTCGTTGCTAGCCTTAAGTATCTGTTATATTTTACTGTTAATATCGTAATAAAATTCGTAGGAATTATTCGACATATTCGGAATATTCGGATCAAATTATATTATAACTTTTAAAATTGTCCTAAATATATCATATAAAATTGCTATTTTTTTTAGGTGTAAGAAAAGCTTATTTTTTTAAATTTTATATTTGAACCTGGTCCTGCGTACAATAATTCGGTTGTATCATTTTGGGTATTTATCACCATAGCTACTTTTTCTGGGATAATAGGTTTTGATTTGTTATGGTCTTTTAAATAAATATAACCCTGAATTCTTATTATATTAACAAGCCCCCCCCCAGAGATAACTAGTAAAAGCTATTTTATTTTTTGAAAGGTATATAAAAATTATTTAAAATAAAATATTGGCAGTTTATAATTTTAAAATTTTCAGATTTATAATTAATTAATAAACCAACCTTCTTATTCCAAATTGATCCCTCATAGCATTTACGATCCATTTAGAATTACCAAGAGAAGAAAATTTCTAAAAATTCCACAGTTCTATTAAAAACATTATTTAGTTTATGCTTATGATCTTTTAGATATGACACCAAATCTCTTAAACTTACAAGTTATGAAATTCTAAATCCACAAACTCAAAATCGCTAAATAGGCAAAAAAAATACACTTAGAGTTAATTAGTTTTAATTTACAATTAATCAAAGATTATGTTTCTATTTCAAATTATTCTATTGTATTATAAAATATCATATTAAATTAACATTATTCAAATAACAATCCTACCAATTTTTTTAATTTTATTTTTAACATCTTTTCTCTAGGACGGTCGTTAATTCTTTTAAATAATATGATTTTAATGTATAATATATTTTTTTTAAATTTTGACTATAAACTCGTAGAAAATTATTTAATTTAAAAGTTATTGAGAAGAATTAAGAGATTATACAAACAAAGTATGGTATTTTGACTCATGAAATACTATAAATATGGATCAGAATTATCAACATCAAAAATATGGGCTGTCATAAATTTATTGCAATTTCACAATGTTAAGGATAGAAATGACTTCTCAATTTTTTAATCAGGATATTAATTCTTGCAACGTTTTTATGCCATCAACTGTAACTAAATTCTGAAGACCATTCTCTAGAAAATAAATGATGCTCATAATCCCCAAATCTTTCTCTTTCTTTTGCCATTTGACAGAGCTTCAGTTACCATCTACATTATTTTTAATGGATAATATGGTTTTATCAGTATGCTTTTTGGGTCGCGTTTATAGTTGCCAATTCATGGG